GTGGGTGCCCCCGCCCTCTGGAACGAACTACCCCCCCAGATCCGGGTGATTCCGGATCTCCTGACTTTCCGCCGCGCCCTCAAGACATGGCTTTTCCAGCAAGCGGGCCTGGCCTAGGGTGGATTTTAAATCGGGTTCATTTTTAGAAAATTTTAAATGTCACAACTTAAAATATTTGGGTTTTAATTGGTTTTATTTGGCGGGGAATGTGGGTTTGTTTCTGTTTTAAAAAATGTTGTGAGCCGCCCTGAGTCCTTCGGGAGAAGGGCGGGATACAAATTGAATAAAATGAAAAAAAAAAATGAAAATGAAAAAATGTCTTGGCGAGGTCTGGTTAGTTGGAAACAGACTGGTCACAGGGGGAGGGATGGGCTGGTGGCAAACCTACACTTTATTTTTGTATCCAGCAAGCGTGATGATTTCAGAGCTGGCTTGAATTTACTGCAAGCATCACTCTTAGCTTTAACCAAATGGAGTCGAAGGTTTTTCTTTCCTAAGGGATTGGATTGGGACAGGTCTCATATACAGAAGCATGTGGACTAAAAATTATGATGTACTGAAAGTAATCACTTTTAATAGGTTAAGTCCCAAAAGAATCTATGCTGGTTTCCAGCACTATTTTTACTTACCTTGGATGGAAGCAGCATCCAGAAATCCAATCTGTGTGACCTTCACCCTTCACAATAATGTTCCCATTAGGAAAAGCCCACATTTTCCATAAGTGATCATCACTTCCAGTGACAACAATGTCTTTTCTTGGATGTAAAGCCAAGCTGTAAGTAGCAAATAGAGAAAGTGATGATTAAAACTGAACAAAAAATGATATAGTTAAGAAACTGGACTGAAAGAGCTCAGAGACTAATATCACTTAGGTTCTGTTTCCCATTCTTTGCTAAGCTAACCCCTGCTCTCAAAAAGGCTGTTTCTAGCATAATGTAGCATAATGTGGAAATGGAGCTAGAAATGACCAGAAATCAACACAGAAGATATTTAGATCTGAAAAGCCCAACCCATCTTCACTTTCTCAGTTAGCAACCTTTGGAGCAAACTACTGTATTTACCAGAAAGGAACATGGCCGTGAATTCCAATCCACCCCCAAATCAGTGTGCTTCTGACACATTTTTATACTGTGTATCTGTACATATATCTGCCAAAAGGCATATTCCAAAAAACAGTAGGACTAAGAAAAAAAGGAATTGGTATTAGTTGAACCAATATCATTAAATAAAAATAATTATCTGTGAAAAGTATCCCTTTTATAAAATTAATATTTCCTTTTCACACACTGTTACATATAGAAATATACATGCAATTTCCCTCTAATGGCAAAAGAAGGGGGAAAAGATAATATCAGAATTTTGTCAGAACAGTAAATAGAAAACTTTTGCTCTTAACACATGGGCTTCAGGAGATAACATGAAATATGAAGAAAGGCATTTGAAAAATATTACTATATCCATTTTAATCTCTTCTTTTTAAAAAAACATTTTATTGATTTTTTAACATAAACACTTTAATATTTGGTAAACAGCGTGTTGTCTGGGCTTATATTTGCAAAGTAATCAGTAACAATCAGTTTCTATATTCCAAAGTCCACATAATAGCTTTGCATAATTTTCTCTTCTTCCAATAATATTCTCTTTGCCAACCTTGAATTGATACAATTCTTATTAGTTTGATAAGTAACAATTAAATATAAATATTTTTCTAAAATTTCTACAAATAATCACATCAATATCATGCTTTTTTTCTATCTGGTCATCTTGGTTGCCTTGTCATAAATCCTGTTTACAATTCTTATTTAAATTTGTTTTCCCTACAATGCTCAAAACATTCTTACTGGTTAAGATTTTATCAAGGTTAATTGCATTTAAGTATTTAAATCTATTTTCTTCATGCAGGCCATCCCAACACTTTTACATTTCTCCATGTCTTAAAAAGTAAAAAAAAAGACAAAACAAAAAACAAAAAAAGAAGAGAGAAAAGAATAAGAAAATAATATACTACTTAAAATACATATTTCTCTTAAACTAATATATATTTTTTTCCAAATTTTTTCTGTTCTTTTTACCCATAATTAAACATATGTTTAATCTTTAGATGTTCCATTTAATAAATCCAATCTAATTTTTTAACTCTATTCAAAACACTTTTTTTTAATTATCCATTGGAATTTTCTTAAAATTAACTACATTTAAATATCTAAAACATTTCCTTTATATTGACCATCCCAAACATTTTTATATTTCTCATATCAAAAAATAAAGTAAAAAAGAAAACAAACGAAAGAATACTATATTACTTAAGCTAAAATCTTTCTATTTCTTCAATCATATTAAACATTTAATTTTTAAATATTTCCTCTGATACATCCCATCATCTAATTCCTCAATTCTCACTTTAGCCCTCTTCTTTTGCCAAACATCTTTCCCAATCAATATATTCCATTGAATCAAAGAGTCTTTCCATAATCCTGCAAATATTGTAGATATAAGAGGCAAATCAAGCAACATGTCTTTGTAAAAAGATTTTGCCCCTTCATATTCATTGAAGATCCTGTCTTTTCTTTCTCTCTTAGTTTCTCTCATCATCCCTTGTCTCCCCATTTCTCGTGCTACTCCCAACAGCTCTGCAATCCATCTTTTTTCTTATCCTCAGATTTATTTTATAGTCTTAGAGTACAAGTTATCTTTTCCATGTCCAATGTTTCTTGTAAATCCTTCTCCACTTGGGTTAAATCATACTTCCTTGTATTATTAGGTTCCATCTTTAAATTTCTGTCCTCTAATTTGTACTTAGTTATCTGCTTTATCTGTTCCCTTTCCATTATTATCCTCTGAGATTTTTTTTTTGCCAAATTGGAGATGGATTCATTTATACTTTCAAAAGTATTTTTAATTTCCTCATGGTTTAAGATCATTGTTGTTTGATCATACATCTCCTCGTGGAAAGTATTTGTTTTTTCCTTGATACGTTCTTTCTGCAGATCTCTGATTTTCTATAATAGCCAAAAATCAAGGTTTTCCTTTCTCTGCAAACAGCTTTAGAGTCACAGTTAATATTTGTAATCCAGAAAGGTCAGATTTTTTAAAAAGTTTATAGTTCTCGTTTTATATGTAGCCCAGAGTGTTTTTTTTTGTCACAGCTGTTCTCTATTATTAGAACTTTGAAAGTCATAAGAACAGATTAACTTTTCTCAGGCTTTAGTCTTGTATTAGAGCAACTGTTGTTGTAATTTTCATCCACCACTAGATGTCAGCCCCAATTCATTTTTTTCAGTTTTCAAAATAAAGAGTTATCTTCTATGTTCATAGTTTAAAATGAAGATCTCAAGAGATTTTAGACAAATAACAAACTTATCCAGATTTAGGTCTTATATTAATTTCATTACAGTATATTTCTCCCCCATAAAATGTTTAATTTGCCACTTTCATCTGCAGAAGAGTGGAACAAAGATCCCCCTCCTTACTTTCGGAGGTTTTTTCTTCTTCTTGGTTTTTTCCCCCAGGAAATTAGTTAATATGTAGAATAGAGAAAATCTATGTTCTTACCCAGATCCAAACACATTCTTTACAATCAGCTTAAAATAGTGCTTTTGGGCTTTGGTTGCTTGTAGCCTGGGCTAGACTTTGAAGTTAGGCTAGCCTTTCTCCTGTTGGTTTCTGGAAGACATTTCCCAGAGTGATCGGGTCACCCACCATCTCTCTGTGGTCCATGGGACTTCATTCCTTCTTTGCCACCTTTTCAGGGTGACCTTTGGCCCATTTAGGGTCCCCTAACAGGCAGAAAATCAGCCTTAGGGTGCGGAGCCCCACAATCCCTTGGCTACTGCGCAAAACCAGAAGCCCACTTCAATCTCTTCTTAAAACTAAACATAGTTAGATTGTTCATTCTCTTCATTAGTTTCTAGTCTTTTTCAATTCTCTGAAAATCTTTCAAACTTCACTGAATCCTTCTGAAACAATAGTTTCCAAACCTGGAAACCATATTTAATATAGGATCTAATCAAAGTAGAATAAAACAGAACATTGCTTCCTCAATGGGAAATATACTCCTTTTGATGCAATCTAAAATTGTGTTTTTACAAGCATCCCACTAATTTATGCTTAGTTTCCAAAATCAAGGATCTTTTTTGCAACTGTTGTTAAGTTACTGTAGGTATTCCTCATCCTTAAATGAAGAACTTGGCACTTATCTCTGTTAAATGTCATTCAGGTCTTTTCAGCCTATTTTTCTAACCTATCAAAACTGTTTTAAATATTATTTCTCTTTTCTAAAATATTACCTATCCAACCTATTTGTGTCAGCTGTAAATCTGATTAGCATTTCTTCCACCTCTTCATTCAAGTTATCAAATTAAAAAATATTAAATACTACAAGGCCCAGAATGATTCAACATCACACTCCAATTGATGAAAAATATCTAAAAAGTACAAATTTCAAACTAATGGTTACCAAGCCATCTAGCCTAGAACTAGACTACAAGTAATCCTCAACTTATTGCCATACGTTTAGCAACCATTTGAAGTTACAATGATGCTGAAAAAAGTCTCGTCCTCACCCTTATGACCATCACACCACCCCTACAGTCATGTAATCACAGTTTGGGTGCTTGGCAACTGGTTCACATTTATAATCATTTGCAATATCCTACAGTCATGAGATCACACTTTGTGAGATTTTTGCTGATTTTCAACAACAACAAAAAAGCCCATTCAGAAGAATGGGTTCACACTTAAAGACTGCAGATTTGCTTAATGAACATAGTAAAAATGGTCCCCAAATCAGGTCTGACTTGACTTACAACCACAATGAATTATGATGGAAATTCTGGTTCCAACTGTGGTCATAAGTCAAAGACCACCTGTAGTTTTCTAATAGCATTCCCATAATTTACTAAGGTAAAACTTGCTCCTCACAAGTCTATGTTGGTTTCTACTAGTTGTTTCCAAGCTATTACAAATCAATCATATTATGGCTTCCTCTAGAGTCATTCTAATTATCACAGTGTTAGAGTAAAGTGGATTATTGTGTTTTGGATCATCGTCTCCCCCACCCCAAGGTAGAGACTATGGAGGGTGAAGATTCATTCTCTGAGCTTAAGGGTTGGTTTCCGAACATTTCATTACCAGGCTAGGTAACATCTTCAGCGGTGTTTAGTGGATGTCTGTGTCAGGATGTGCAATTCTTAAAGATTACTGCTCTTTAGTTTAACAAAATGCTCCTTAGGAATGCTAAAGTTGTTCTTAAAATTGTACAACTAGAAGCAAATATTACTAAATTAGTAGCTGGGGGATGAGGAAGTGACATAAGTATGCTAAAGTTGCCTCTTGAAATAAGAGATCATATTCATTCTCCAAGGAATATCAAGCATGTAACATTAATTAGATGTTTTATTAAACATTGTTAAAAAGTTTTATTTCATCTTTTCGCAAGGTCTTCTTAGGGCTTTGCAAGCTTTGCATGAAATATTTCAGGCATCACTTACGTGCAGTAACTCTCTGTGATTCATTAAATCAATATTTTTTCGAACTTGCACATGAGCTTGAAAACAATTTGCTGCTGCAGCTTCATAAAAATTCTCTGCACAAATTTCACTTAAGTGTGGCATTCATTTGAGGTTTTGCATAGGCATAATACCTACTCCCTACATCTCATTATTACAAATCACAAAATTGTTAAAATCAGCAATTATGAGGCAAAAGACAAATAAGATATTAAAACTGTGTAAAAGGAGATGTATTTCTTCAGGGAAAGAGATAAATAAACATA